TCTTCCAATCCATGAACATGGAACGTTTTTCCATTTCTTTGTGTCTTCCTCAGTTTCTTTCATGAGTATTTTATAGTTTTCTGAGTACAGATTCTTTGCCTCTTTGGTTAGATTTATTCCTAGGTATCTTATGGTTTTGGGTGCAATTGTAAATGGGATGGACTCCTTAATTTCTCTTTCTTCTGTCTTATTGGTGTACAGAAATGCCACTGATTTCTGTGCATTGATTTTCTATCCTGCCACTTTACTGAATTCCTGTATGAGTTCTAGCAGTTTTGGGGTGGAGTCTTTTGGGTTTTCCACATACAGTATCATATCATCTGCAAAGAGTGAGAGTTTGACTTCTTCTTTGCCTATTTGGATGCCTTTTATTTCTTTTTGTTATCTGATTGCTGTGGCTAGGACTTCTAATACTACGTTGAATAGCAGTGGTGATAGTGGACATCCTTGCCATGTTCCTGACCTTAGGGGGAAAGCTCTCAGTTTTTCCCCATTGAGAATGATATTCGCTGTGGGTTTTTCATAGATGGCTTTTATGATACTGAGCTATGTACCCTCTATCCCTATACTCTGAAGAGTTTTAATCAGGAAAGGATGCTGTACTTTGTCAAACGCTTTTTCTGTATCTATTGAGAGGACCATATGGTTCTTGTTCTTTCTTTTGGACGTTAAGTATCCTAAGATTACCGTTGAACTGTTGTGGTTCTTATGTTTTGAAATTTTTATAAATAATATATTTTATGGTGAATAAAGTGGTTAACTATTTCCTTTCACATCTGAATCCATTCTCAGTATTTTAAGAAACCATTGCCTTGCAATTCTGGTTTTCTGAAATTACCCTACTGTCACTGAGGCTCACAAATTTCTCTATAGGAGGCCTGAAGAGAGGAAATCTATGTAAGGAGGGCTATGACACTTATTTTGTGACTGTATTTACATAACAAGGAAAGGTTTTTACTTAGATGTTTGTCAATAATTACTAAAAATAACACAGCTTTCTAAGGATATGTTTATTTTTGCTAACCATGAGATTGAGAAAACATTAATTTTCTGTCCTAAATAATATAATTATTGTATTTTTATTTAGAAATGTTTTATGGGGGTTGCTGATGAAGGTTTTGTGGTGGGATGCTAAAGTCCTCCAAACCACTCCCAGGTGCATTCACTCTTTGTCTACCAGGAAAGTGATCCCAGCCAGCCACTTAGCATTCACTTGCCTTCATGGTCTTACCATACTCTTTATAACTCATTATGGGCAATAAGTTTATAACTCTCTCTAAGCAGTAACTCTGGTGAAATGAAAGAAATGTTGTGTAATGTCACAGATAATAATAATGATAATAATAATAAAGATAACATCAACAGTGCTGGTTTTGCAGATAGCAATAAAAGGTCTTTGATAATGTTATTACAGTAATGACGTGATATAGTATAAACTTTATAAAGTTCGTTTTATTAACAAAATTTATTTTAATAGCTTTATCATTTGTTTTAATTCTGTTTTTATGGAATAAATAGAGTCCAGAAAGGTCTAGTTAAAACCTTTGGTTATACTTTAGGGCATCTCATGATGGAAACTGTATAATAGTAGTTGTATTCATAGAGATTCAGGAAGATATTGTGTTGTAGTCCATCATCCATAATCAAGAGCTTATTCTCTTGTACTTTTTAAAATAGTTTTTGATCGAATCATGGAACACTACATCAAAAACTAATGATGTAATGTATGGTTACTAACATAACATAAGAGAATAAAACAAAAATAAATAAATAAAAATAATAAAACCAAACATAAAAAAAATAGTTTTTGATCTTTAACATTTTCACATTTTTTTCAATTTTGTGAATTTTTGTTTTTAAAATAGAAGATATCAAACTCCAATTGTCTAAATTTCCAAGCAAATTAAACATAATTTTTAGTGATCTGGGAACTAGAGCCAGAATGATATAGAACTTGATATATAAAGAATATAAAACTTGTCATCCTGGAAACATTTGCTTTTTTTTTTTAAGATTTATTTATTTATTCATTTGCAAGAGAGAGAGAGAAAGAGAACAGGTGAGACTGAAAGCGTGGGGGAGGGGCAGAGGTAAAGGGAAAGGGAGAGAAGCAGACTCCCTGCTGACCTTGGAGCCTGACCTGGAGTTCAGTCTCAAGACCCTGAGATCATGCCTTGAGCTGAAATCAAGAGTTGGGCAGTTAACCAATTGAGCCACCCAGGCGCCCCCTGGAAACACTAGCTTTTATGAAGCAACTGGATTAACCTAATTTCTTTTAAACTGTAGTCTGTTGATGTCACTGCCATTATCTTTGCTAACACCTAAGTTGGTTAATGCAATGATCCCTCTGAATGTATAACATAATATTTAAATACTGAATATGAAATATAAAATTGTTTCAGATTTTATGAACAACATATTATGAATCAGTATTTTGTAAGTAATTTCAGCATAATATAGTTATGCTTTGAAGTGTTAAATTTTTGAATTATTGGTCTTCTTTATTTATTCATTTATCTGAAATTTAAACATCTACTTCTGAAAAGGATTTGACATCTCAATTTGAAGATATCTCTCCATGATAACTGAAAGTCATTACACATCAGCTCTAATTTATTGAAATTTGCATTATCCATATAGATTACTTTGTTCTGAAATTAATTTCTATCCCTAAAATGGCCACTGGTTTTATGTTTGCAGAATACATTTCCAAAACTACTTTTTTGACATCCTTTTTTGTGGTTAAGAATTAAATTTAGCTTTCTGATTTTCTCCTACTTACGATCTTTGAAGATAAATGCAAGAGTTTATTTTGAATATTTGACCATTAAATCACTTGGTCAAATCTTCCTAGAATGGTATATTTGAATTGTCTTTATTATTCTCCTAAATATGCAAGTAGTAACATATTCTGCAGTCTAAAATTGATTTTTCTAAACTGTTAAAAAGTACAAAAAGTGTGCGTAAAGCTGGTATTACTGAAAAGAACAAACATGCCAGTGTAGCAATGGATGAGTTTGTAAACTATGAAACATCAAGGGTTAACAGTTTCCAATGAATAATGGAATTTTTAAAGGAAATTTTGTATCTTGATTACCATAGAGTATATTTCTATCTGGATGAAAAAATAAATCAAAATAAATCAAATAAAATAAATTGTGTACTTTCTTCTTTCTTCCTGTTACTAGATGAAACAAACCTTAATTAGGTCCCAGTTTGCTTGTACTTATAAAGATGACTGCACAATAAGCAAGGATAAGTGGAATGATGTTAATTCAGCATCCAAGCCTTTGTATGTACTTCACATGGAAAATGACCTTTCTGGTAATTGAGCTTGAGTAATTAAATAACTATTTAATTCTAGTATATTAATTGTTTTTTTAAAGATTTTATTTATTTATTAGAAAGAGCGTGCACGCACATGAGAGAGAGCATGAGCAACAGGAGGGGCAGAGGGAAAAGCCAGCTCCCCCCTGAGCAGGGAGCCAATGTGTTGGCTTGATCCCAGGACACCGGGATCATGACCTGAGCAGAAGGCAGATGTTTAACCGACTGAGCCACCCAGGCGCCCCAAATTGGCTTTAACTTAAGTAAAACGACATTTTGTTTTACAAAGTATGAAAAGTGAAATGTAAAGGTTTATATTTTTAAGACCTGGGTTTATTTAAAAAGTTAAATCTAGGTACACATCTAAGGAGGAATAGGACACGTTTGATTTAACTAAATGTATTTAAGGAGTAACTTGTAGCATTTAAGGATTAAGTGTCATGCATTCAAAGAAAGTAAATATTTGTTGTTTGCAGGGATAAAAAAATGATATGGTAGAATGAAAAGTAATGTGCTAGTAATGTAGTTGTATTTGTTAATCATGTGACTTACAGCATTATGTGATTGCAAATAAAATTTTTGAATATTCTTTAGCAATTTTTAAAGTTTATTGTAAAATTTTCACATGTAATTCTAAATATTATGTAATTTCTTTCTTCTTTTCATCTTGCATAACAGAAGGTGTAAATTCATCTGTTGGAAGGCCAACAATTGGAACAAGTTCTGGAAATGTTCCTCTGGACAGAAGTAAAAGTGAAAAAGTAACAAGAAAATCAAGTAGTCAGACAGGAAATAAAAGCTCAAAAAGGAAACAGGTGGATTTAGATGATAAAAATGATCTCTGCGATAATGGAAATGAACCAGCTCAACATAAAAATGTTAAGATACCTGAGACATCAAACAATTTCCAGAATAAATTGTGTGGCAAAGTAGCCAGAGTAGCAAAAAACAAGTGTACAGCCAAGGACAAATTGATTACTGGCCAGACAAAGTTAACTCAATTTTTTAGACTATGAATTTGTTTTTTATGTGCTTTAGATTTCTGTATATATTAAACTATTCACCAAAGCCATCTACTTAATTTTTAAGAGAGCAAGATGTAAGTTATGATTCTTTATTATATTGGTCTGAAGTGTATATAAGGTTAGTATGTTAAGCATTTACAAAATACTAGTAAGTCATAATTATGCAGAATATTCACAAAGTTTAATGCACAGATAAAGCATATCATTTAGGCTACAGATATATGTTAATAGCTGCTTTCTTTTAAGACAGACATTTAAAATAATACAAGTCATAATAATGTTAAGGGCTTTTTCCCCAAAAGACAATTAAATGATTTTGTTTTCTTCAGAAAAGATGATGTGGTCCAACAGGTTTCAGACTTGCCAACAAGGTCGATAGACTCTTCCCAGCATGCACCTGAGCACTGGAGGAAAAAAAAGTTTAAATTGTTTAAAGCACTATTATTATGACACAAAATTTATTAGAAATAGGAGAATGGATCTAATATAGCTAATTCTGAATAAATCAAAATTACAGCAACTCTTGAATGCCTTTTAATCCCACATCTTTGGCAGGGGTCACTTAACTGAACCATGGTCTTATTTGATTTTCTTAAGATTGGTTCCAAATCCAGTTAAACTCAGAGTTCTATTTTTATGGTATTAAGATACAAGAATTGAATTTTAAAAAAACTACTCACTGTCAAAATCTCTCCTTCCTATAGGAAATTTAGCTGAATTTTCTTCATCCCCAATTTCTCTCTTTTCTTGTGTTGATTCAGTATTCTGAATTCCATTCTCGGCTGGAAAAGCTACAGATCCTTTTAGAGCAAGATAAGGTTTTATAGCCAGATTCAGTGGCAGACCATGATTTAAGAAATTGTGTTTGGAGCCTGTGTTCTGTAAAGAAAAGGTTGATTTGTGTTTTAGCTGTCTTACTGGTAATAGAACTACAATATATTTGTATAATATTCTCATTGATCAATTTAAAGATGCTCTGCACTGTTTTGACTCTAAAAATACATTAGATACAAATTTTTGGGGAAAAAAACTTTTGGATAAGAAGTGTTGTCCAGAGTGGAAGAACAACGTGGTATGTATGAAATTTCATCAGTTGTCCTAAAGAATAGTGTGACTGTTTATATATACTTCTGTTTATAAAAGTATCAATTTTACTTTCAAAAGTATCATAAAAATCATTCAAATTTCCATTGAAGAATGGATAAGTCACATTGCCACTCACCTTTGAATTTTTGTTTTCCTCATCACTCATGAAACTGCTCTCATCATTTTTATATTGTTCCAGAGAAGGAGCAACAACTGATTTTTGTGGAGTATCTTCCTTCTGAAAGGCTTTCCCCAGCCGGAATGTATTAAATACCATGTCATCTTCTAAATTTCTTATGGACTTGGATGCTGAAAGTAAAATGCCTTGAGAAAACAGAGAAAAAGTTAGTATTAATAGGTAGGAAGAGAGACTCATTTTTGCCATTCTTAGTTTGATGTTTGCATAGAGTCAAGCAAGGATCTGTAAAATGAAGAAAAATTTCTCAGTCAACCTACTTTGTAGGTGATTCCTACCTTTATATATTTTCTAACTTGAATAGAAAGCACTTCAAAGATGTAGACTTTCATCATTGGAGAAATGACTCATCAGAGGCTAACCACTTGTATAGCTGCTAATACCTACATTGTTTTGGTTTTAGTGGCATATTGTTTATTTTGAGTGCGAATTTTCTCGGAATCTGATTAAGATCCTTGGTAGAATGCTTTCTGTTGAGTAGATTATAGTCTCTTGAAAATGGATTGTTGTTAAGGAAGACCATAGGACACCAGGCTCTCCATATTCTTATTGTTTTCTTTTGTATATTTTCTGATTAAGTATGATATTAAAACTAAAGTTATTTTATTTAAAGTTGATAAGGATAAAAGTGTTATTTACTTTTAATCCTGATTAAATCAAAATAATCTTCAAAAAGGATTTTCTTTCATAAATGCTCAGTTTAGTCTTTGGTGATTAAAGTATATATGCCTGTCAGTGTGAACAAAAAGTCATCCATAATATATCAAAAATTGACCTGTCAGGTGTGTTTTATCTCTGCATTTGCAAAAGGATATTATTGACATTTATTAATGAATTTAACAATTAATGAATAAAGTCCATGAAGAGAATATTTATGTGTTCCATAAATATCAATTTTGGATGAATATGTTGTATGATTCTTAATTAAACATTTCACAATAATTTCTCATTTTGACCCCACCAAGTAAGATAATACATTCTTGTAATTGTCTTCTGGTACATATGTGCAAAAATTTTTCTAGAGTATATTCCCAGGTATGGAATTTCTGAGTCATGGAATATACATGTTCAGCTTTACATATGCTAAAATGTTTACAGAATAGTAGTAGCCAATTCAAGCTCCCACCAGTGAGGTTTGACAGTTCCCATTGCTCCATGTCCTAACCAATACTTGGATATCTTATTGTCCTTTTGTATTTTTCTGATTCCCAAAGAAGTTGAGTGTCTTTTCATATGTTTATGAGCCATTTATCATTCCTCTTATATAAAATGTCTTTTAAAAAAAAATCTTTGTCCATTTTCTTTTTGTTTTTTTCATATTGATTTATGGGAGTTCTTTATATATCTTGGATATTATTCTTTGTTAGTTACATGTGTTTTAAATATTTTTTCCCACTTTGTGACTTGTCTTCTCAACCCCTTTATGGTGTCTTTTGGTGAATCAAACTGCTAAATTTTTATTGTTTAAATTTCTTTTTTTTTCTCTTCATGATTAGTATTTTTGGCAGGTTATCATTTAGAAATTTTTTCCCAACCATTTGATGTTTACATTTAAATTCTTAATTCATCTGAAATTTTGTGTATGATGTAGAATAGAGATACAATTTTACTTTTTCCAAATATCCTCACACATTTCCTGAATAATTCGTCCTGACTCCACTAATCTGCACTGACTTCTCTGCAGTATATCAACTTTCTGTGTACATGTGGGTCTCTTTTTGAACTCTTATTTCACTGCCAAATCTTCAGTCTTAATTGTTATAATTTTAAAATAATTTTTGATACCTGGTAGGTCAGGTTTTCCAGCCCCCTGTTCACCCATCAGTTTTTCTTCTACAGCAGTTCCTTGACTATTCTTGTCCATTTTTTTCATATAAATCTTAATATCAGCTTTTCAAGTTCTGTGAACAACTTTGGTGGGGATTTGAAGGCAATAGTATTGATTCTATAGATTAATTTTGGAGGGCAATTGACACTTTTAAGATAATTCATCTTCTTATGCATGAACATGGTACTTTTCCATATTTATTTAGATTTTTTAACCTTTTAATAACATTTACTATTTTCTTCATAAAGTTCTTACATATTTTTTGTTGAAAGTTATAATTTTTTATAATTATAATTAAGCTATTTTAGTTACTGTAAATGGTATCTTTAAAAAATTTACCTTTTCTAACATTATTGCTGGCTGTACATGTGCAGTTGGCTTTTGTGTAGTGCTCTTATATACAAAATACTTTCTAAATTCTTTTTAATTCCAAATAGTTGATAAGTGTATTAATTCTTTTGGATTTTCCATAAAGACAATTGATATAAATAATAAAATAATGGCATTTTATTTCCTCCTTCCAAGTCCTTCTGTATTCGTGTGTGTGTGTGTGTCTGTCTGTCTGTGTGAGCATACACACTGATATTGACCAAAACTCCAGTAAGTGTTGGAAATGGAAATAACAGACATCTTTGCAGCATTACTGATTTTATAGAGTGCTTTTAATGTTTTACCATTGAGCATGATGTTTGCTCTTGGCTTTTTATAGATATTCTTTATAACTTGCAGGATGTTCTCTTCTATTTCTGACTGATAGTTTCTATCATTAATTGTTATTGAATGTTATTGAATTCTTTTTCTGCATCTATTGAGATGATCATGTCGTTTTTCTCCTTCAGTCTTTAGTAAATGAAATGAACAGATTTTTCTCATGTTAAATCAACCATGTGTTCATGAAACAAACCTTTTAAAAATATAATTTGGTTCAATGTGATAATATTTGATTTAGTATATTTTGTAATTATTATCATGACTGAGATTGATATGTACTTTACCTTCCTTATGTTGCCTTTGTCTCTTTTGGCATTAAGGTTCTACTAGCTTCATGAAATGAACTGGGGATAAGTTTATTCCTTTTCTTTTCTCTCTTGTAAAACTATTTGAGTGTGGTGTTTTCTTGGTTGGATTTCTTTTAATGATTAATTCACTTTCTTCAGTAACTGTAGAAACATTCAGCTTCTCTCTCTCTCTCTTTTTTTTTTTAGTTTGTTTCAGGAATTTAAATTATAGAATTTCACTTAAGCTTTCAAATTTGCTAGCATAAAGTTATTAATAATATTTTCTTCTAAATTTTTTAAACCTTGCTCCATCTGTAATTGTATTTCATTATAATTATGTTTATTTTTACTCTTGTGGTCTCTGCCTGTCTCTCTTTCACCCCTCTTTTTTGATCAGGCTTGTTAGAGGTTTATCAATTTGATTAGCCTTTTCAAAAATAAACTTTTGGTTTTGTTGCTCTTCTCTATTTTTCTATTTCATTAATTTCTGCTTTTTATTATTTTGGGAGGGTTTATTTTTTAATTCTTATAACTTCTTAAATTGGAAGAATAAATCGTTATTATTTATACTTAAAAATAAGCACTTAAGGCAATATGTTTCCCTTTATGTATCATTTTTGCTAATAACCACAATTATTGATGAATAGAATATTCAGTGTTTAATAATAAAAACAATATTCATTGTTTTTATTATTATTTCTTCCTTAGCTCCTCAATTACTTAGATATTTTTAACATTCCAAATATATGGGAAATTAATTTTGGGGAGAGGGTACCAAGTTCCAACAAAATTGTTGTCAGAAGTTTTGGTCTATAAATTATAGAGTATTTGAAATCATAGATTGAACAATATATAATTATGATTTTCAGCTGTTTTTGACATACAAATACCAATTTCATATAGTTCAACATATAGAAACTTACCATATAGCCTATAATATCTTCACTTTACATTAAAGTTCTGTTTATTCTTGAAAAGAATATGTATACATTATTGTTGAGAGAAGGATTCTATATGTGTCCATAAGATAAAACAGGATAATATGTTGTTTAAATCTTGTATGCTTTATATATTTTTTTGTCTACATGGACTATCATTATTGAAAGATATACACAAATCTTTCACTACCATGAACTTATCTAATTCTTTCTGTAGTTTGCAATTTTTGACTTATTTTGAGCTGATGTTATTAGGACACTCAAATTAGAAATTGTTTCATCTTCCTCATAAACCAAATCATGTATCATGACCCTCTCCAGCTTTAATAATGTGTCTATTACTATTATTTTTTCTGTATCTTTATGTTTTAGATGTGTCTATTGTGAATACCATGTAGCTGAATTTGGAATTTTTAGTCTGACAGTCTTTGCATTTTCTTGGAGACTTTAGTCTGTTTACATTTATTTTGTTTACTGAATTACTGAGATTCAGTACTACTATCTTATTTTGTGATTTTTATTTGTTCTAATATGTTTTCCCCACTCCACCCTCCCTTTGGCTTCTGGCTAAGTTTAATCTATTTTTTGTTCTTTTTGAGGGCACCCTAGACATTTTATTTATTTGTTTTTATTTTTATTTTTTTTTTAAGATTTTATTTATTCGAGTGAGAGAGAGAGCACAAGCAGGGGAAGGGACAAGCGGAGAGGGAGAGGCAGACTCCCTGCTGAGTGCAGAGCCCAACACAGGGCTCAGTCCCAGGACCCTGAGATCATGACCTGAGCTGAAGTCTGAAGCTTAGCCAACTGAGGCACCCAGGTGCCCCACCCTAAACATTTTAATATCACCTTCAGTTATTTATGTTCAAGTTAATCAGTATTTTTGCCCTCCTCCCAAATAATGTAAACACCCTAGAATCTTTAACTCCAGGTACCACTATTCCTAATTTATATGCTATTATTTTCTAAGATTTAAGTTCTATCTTGATTTTTTTAATGAAATAAATTAGAGAATATTATGCTGTTTTACAAATTAACAATTTGTTTAGATTTACCTACAAGTTTACTATTTTTTTCTCACCATTCCTTTTTACATCTGAGATCTTCCTTTGACAGTTTTCTTCTTTCTGAAATACAAGTTTCTGAAATATACTGAGTTAGAGGCTAAGTTAGTGAGGGTCTGTTAGTTATGAACTAAGTTTTGTTTTGTTTTAATTAAATGTATTTTGCTATTTTTCTTGAAAAATAGTGTCAATGACTATACAGTTATATAGTTGACAGCTACCTTCCCTTAGTACATAACTATTTCAGTTTCTTCTGATTTTCATTGTTACTGGTGAGATATCAGTTGTTGGTTTTAATCATGATGTCTTTATAGGTAATCTCTGTATTCTCTCTGGCTGCTTTTAAAATCTTTTATTTGGCTTTAATGTTCTGCAGTTGCACATGATGTGTCTGGGTTTGGATTTCTTTTAATTTTTCCTGGCTTAGATTCTTGAATCTGAGGGTTGAGTGTTTCTTATGAATTCTTGAAAATTATTAGTCATTATTCTTTTGAATATTGCCTCTCTTCTGTTCTGTTTGTCTTTCTGGAATTCCCAATAGATATACATTAGGCCTGCCTGCTTACTCTGTCCTCCATATCTTATAACCTCTCTTTCTTACTCTTTCTTTCTCTCTCTGTGCATTTTAAATAATTATTCAGAGTTATATTCCAGCTTACCAGTGCACTTTCACTTGTATCTAATCTGTTTAACCTGTGTATTGAGGTTTTTTTTAAAGATTTTTATTTATTTATTTGAAAGAGAGAG